AAGGAAAATGGAAAGATTAACTTGTGAATGAGGGTAGTATGTCAAATGGCTTTCTTGTTGCTCCGTACTTAATTTGGCATGTGTTGCTTACGGGCCTGTTTGGGAATAGCGTTAGCGTTTTGAAAAGGCTATCTACGGGCAGCGTTTAGCGTTAGCGTTTTCAAAGTAATCTACACCGTTAAAATTTTATCCAAAACGCTAACGCTAATCTCTAACGCTATTCCCAAACAGGCCTTACATCACATTAGCAGTGGGCACGGTTCATTTTTTACACCATGTGGCGTTTTATCTCGTTTTTTCAAACTATTCGGGCCATAATCTTACCCCTATTCATCCCTTTATATTTGCTAAAACGAAACTGGTTTAAGTTGTCCTTCTTCATTATTGTCCGAAATTAGATATAAAAATGTAAAATACATAAGGGAGAGAGAGCCCACTTTGACTTGCAAAATAATGAAAAAATAATATATTAATTTAGAATGTCTAAGAAAAGAAAAAACAAAAAAGAAACATGAAAAAATGTTACAATATAAGTCAAAAGTCAAAATAATAAGTTTCATGAAAAAATTATGAGCCACAAATTATGGTGTCTAGGTTAGAACGGTCTGGATTATTAGGTGTTATGGTCCTAATCCATTTTTTAGAATATTTGAATCAGGATATTTGTTTGTATCTATCTAGGAAAAAAACAAAAATTGGGACACTTTTTGTGTTATATCATTATACAAATAAATAAATAGATATATACAAATTTATGGGACAACGGGACAAAACACGAAACTATTTATTTGTACCGGTCTTGTCCCATTTTAAAACATTATGAAATAGGTTGGGGACAAAAATTTGTCATCCCAAACAAAGAGGAACATTATAGGGACGAGACCAGAATATTTCGAGTCGGGATAATGGGTTCGGGAGTTTTGCCCACCCAACATCACATCTTTTGTTTTGTGTTCCTTTTTCTGGTCTAATTTTGTTTTTTGTTACTCTGTGCTTATGTCTCAGATTCCTTTCTATGACGCAGGTCATGGGCCTTCTCATTCAATGAGTCCTGAGTTTGGCCCTTTAACCCATTACTAATTAGTTGGTATCCAAAATTGACGTTAACGGCCGCGTTTAACATCAGCGTTAGAGATTAGAGATAGCGTTTTGAAAAAGCTATCCGACAGTGGCCTTTAGCGTTAGCGTTTTTCGAATTAATCTACACCATTAAAATTTTATCCAAAATGCTAATGCAAATCGAAAATGTAGTTCTCAAACAAGGTCAACATTTCTTCGCAATCCTACACAGCCACAAATACTTTTAATATAGCAAAATAATGGTTTTAAATACTTTTGCACGATACAACTTGGTAAACCTCGTTGTCTTCTCCCAATAGGATCATGAAACTTATTCCAACAGGAAAATTAGCTACCCCGTCAAATACGGTTGTGCAGAACAAATACAGGTGTGGTTACTAAAAAAAAAACTAAACTCATCATTTCTAACTTTCAATTAATGTTTGCACGATGAATAGGTAATGGACTTGCACTTGCATTAAGTGCCGGTTTGAAATATTTTGTCTAGGCTAAGTGCAATAATGATGGTTTCTTAAAGCATAGATTGGTGATCCGCAACTCGTTTCAATGGAATAACTTACAAGTCTTGGTGTTTGTGCTTGCTCCAACCCCCTCTCGACATTCATGTCATGCGCCTCACAATAATCGTCTCCGAACAGGCTCATTAAACTTTTTCCAACAGGCAAATTAGCTATTTTACATCCATTTAACTATTAATTAAAAACAAACATTCTTACTAACTTTTAGCTAATGGTAGTGCAACAAACTGCTACAAGATTTTCACGGACATTATATGCATTGATGGTTTATTGAAGTACAGATTACTAATTTGTAACTTTTTTGTATGAACAAATTACAAGGCTCAGAGTTAATAACGCTTGCTCCAAACCCCTCTGCAATATTAATTTCATGCGCCTGACCGTTGTCTCTAAACAAGCTCATGAAAGTGGTTCCAACACCCAAATTCTCATTACCTTTTAAAATGGTTGCGCATAATAGATACAATTTTCATTTAAGAGTGAGTTAAATATTAAATTTTGTGCCTACTCCAAATCATTTCACAGGCCCAAAGTGTTGGTTTATTAAATCTCATTGTACACGTTTCAATTTGTTAATAATCCTAAGTGCCTAACATGCCACATAAGGTTTTTAATACAGATGACAAATGACTAGTTAGTCACTGCAAATAAGCATTATGTTAGGCACTTAGGGAGAGAGACATAGAGAGGAGAAAGAGGAGTGGGTTGGGTGGTTGTTGTATATGTAAAGGTGGGTGGGGGTATATGAGCTACACTACTGGGGTACAAAATGGTGTACCCTAGCGCGATTGAAAAATGTTGAGTTTTCCAAGTATGCCCTTCCTCCATGTTTTCTGCAAATCTCCAACTGTGATGGTGTAAAATCCAACTCCAGTTCTTAATTTTCACTGGACATAAGAGAAAATCTCCAAAAAAAATTAATCCAACAAAATTTATTGGGAGTTCTTCTAAATTTTGTTTACAACTAATCCAACAAGAAAACTTTAGTTCTTAGTTTTTCTACAAATCAACAACAAATAATGGACGGAGGAGAAAAATCCAACTGCTACAAATTAATCCTCCGTCAAGCTATTAATCATTTTCCAGTTCTATGATCCTAGGAATTGTGAGCTAGATGTCTGAGAAATGGAGAAGCTGAAGAAATCTTCGAGCTCTTGGCCGACCACGAAGAAGCTGAAGACAAGGAGACGGAATCCCAAAAATCTATGGCGTAAGGTGTTTCCTGTACATTCACATTAATGTTCATTTTTGAGTAACCAAATACTTATTTTCAAGTAACTTTAAACTCATTTTTTAGCATAATTGAATTTTAGAAATATAATTATCTGGTTATTCAAAAATTAGTAATTAGTATTAATACTACTACTAAATTATATGTACATTTGTAAACTAATCTTATTATTGTTTGTACCTACATGTATAATGCTAGTGTTAAGCTAACTAACTTAGTCATTAATATTTATCTTGTTGTTAATATTATTATAAATAGTTGTAGTTATCCAGTAGAGTTTGAGTTCAATTAGGATGGTTTTACTCCACTGTATAATGTGAGTTTACTGATGAATAATATCAAGCATTCCATTCATAGAGATCTTATATGGTATCAGATCTCTCTATCTCTTAACAAAGATTTCTTTTTCCAAACCACTGCCCCGCCAACTATTATTCTCCGACTGAGCTCAGAAATGTGGTTGCACCGAAGCATTGTCCAAATAAACTCACTAAATCAAATTTCCTTGTGTGGCGCCAACAGGTTTACTCTACACTTGTTGTCTTGGATCACATAGGGTTCGTTGATGGAACCTCTCTTGCACCCACAAAGTTTCTTGATGATGCTACCAAGAAACCAAATCCTGTCTATACGATTCGGTATCGACAGGATCAAATGTAACACTCCAACCTGCATAACCAGAATAATAGGCCACCAAACTGAGTTGCTACTCATTTCATAAAAGAATACACTCTTGTCATCTCTTCTTTTGTATATTTTTTATATAGTTTTTTTACTATATAAATTTATTTTTAAATTTTGCATCTACGATCCAATAAATTAAATTAAAAATAAAGTTAGTCAAACCTTGTAACACGTATTAAAAAATCATGGGAAACAGAAGAGATGTACTATTTTGGGAATTTATTCTTTTTGGATGAATGTTCTATCGCATTATGTCCAAAGGGAAGTCCCTTGGTTCATCCTCTTTGTTGATGATATGGTACTGATCGACGAGACTTGTGCAGGACTCAATGACAAGTTGGAATTGTGGCGTCAGTTGCTGGATTCAAGGGGATTTAAACTGAGCATGACTTAGATGGAGTATTTGGAGTGTTGCTCTAGTGGTGAGGTGACAATTTCTGAAGTGGAAGTTATGATTGATTCACATCTAGTGCCTAAAAGACTGATAAGTTTCGTTATCTTGGCTCGATTAGTCAGGGAGATGGAGAGATAGATGGAGATGTTATTCACCGTATTAGAGCTGTTTGGGCTAAGTGGAAGCTAGTTTCAGGGATCTTGTGCTATAAGAAGATTTCATCAAGCTTGAAAGGAAAAGTCTATCAGTCGGTGGTCAGGCCGACTATGCTTTATGAAGTGGAGTGTCGGGCCGTCAAGAAAGCCCATGTTCGTCAACTGCATGTGGCAGAGATACGAATGCTGAGGTGGATGTGTGGACAGGCGAGGCTGGACATGATTCGAAACGGGTGGGTGTGGTTCATGTGGATCGGAGGATAAATTGCGAGAGGCCAAATTGAGATGGTTTGGTCACGTGAAGTGGTGTAACGTTGAGGTCCTGGTGCAGAGATACAAGAGACTTACGATAGTGAGTGGGGATGGAGGGAGGGGTAGACCTAAGAAGAATTGGAAGGAAGTGATCAAGCACTACTCAGGAATTCTAGCTATTACTAAGGATATGACCTTAGATATGAGCGTTTGAAGATCTGAACTAAGATAGTTCGGTAGTCCTTTGAATAAGGATCCTTTTGTTGTAGTTGTTTGCGTGTCTTTTGTCTGTCTGTACTTTTCCTGACATTAATTGTTACTCCCGTTTCTTAAAATCATTCTTATTTTGACTTTAGAGCAAAATAAAGAGTGTATATTTATGTTTGACTTTCCAATTTTGCCCTTGATGTGATAAATAAAAGTAAGATGCGATGAGTAGATTGTTAATGAAAAAATATGATGTGATAGATAGGAAAAAAAATAAGAGTAAAAATAATTTTTAATAGAAGGTGAAAATATTTTGGAGAAAAAGAAAAATGAAAAAAGGAAGTATTTTAAAATAGAGAGAGTTTGTTTTCTTTATGATACTCCGTATTTGCTTTCCTTCTGCCTGAGCTGAGAGTCTCCTTAGAAACCGCCGTCTCTGTTTCTGAGTAGGACTAAAGCCTAGGTACACATACCCTCTTAGACCGTCTCTGGGATCTTAGCGGGTAGTTGTATTCTTTTTGGAATTTCAATTTTGGGGTTTAGCAAGTGAAGGAACTGACCCTCGAACCCTCTACATAATGGGGGAGCAGATTGTCCTTCGCCGAGCTCCCTTTTTCTGCCGGCGGTTGATCGCTGTTCTTGGCGTTGAGAACCCGCCAAGCCCCGCCATCTACCTGCGTCGCTGCCGCTGTTCCTCTTCCACAGCCAAAGCTGAGGCAGAGAAAGAAGCCGATACTGCAGATAAGAATGGCAAGTGGTTCACTCTACCTCCGTACACTTCCTCTATAAATGGCGCTGCTCTTGGAAAAGAGCTCGCTGGAAGGCAATCAGATACTAAGTGCAAAACTGCCACCACCATGACGGCCCTGAAGTGGGTTCTCCATTGCTGCCCTGAGTTTCCAAGGTCTCTTGTGCAAAAGCTGTTTCGATTAAGACAGGTCTATTTTTGGTTTCTACTTAGATTTGGGGGAATTTCCGAATTTGTGTTAAATTTATTCGTGTGTTTTAAAATCTTGAAATGTAACTTCATCTATTGTGTTTAAACGGTTTTAATTTTAGATCACACGCCATATTCTGAGTTTGAATTGGGAAATTAGCATTACATATTTATGCTGATTCTTGTCATTCATATGTGATGTTCTTGATCTTTACTACCTGAGTGCATATTTTATGTAGCAATATATGTATGTATGTATGTATGTATGTATGTATGTATGTATGTATGTATGTATGTATGTATGTATGTATGTATGTATGTATGTATGTATGTATGTATGTATGTATGTATGTATGTA